CTCTCTCCCTCTCCCCCTCCCTCTTTCTCTCTCCCTCTCTCCCCATCTCCCTATCTCTCCCTCTTCTCTCCCCTCCCCCTCTCCCTCCCCATGCCTGCACGTTAGCGATGTCCACACTATATTTTGAATGTCACAGTTTCTGTGATGAAGTGTCTCCGGTTTTGCCTTAGGTAGTCTATAGTATGTTCAGATTAACCTTTTTAAAAGACAGAGTGACAGAGAGAGACACACACAGAGAACTGCCATCGCTGGTTCACTCCCCAAATGGCTGCAATGGCCAGGGCTGGGCCAGGCAGAAGCCAGGAGCATGGAACTCCATCTGGGTCTCCCACATGGGTGGTGGGGGCACAAGCACTTGGCCAGTTTTCCACTGCTTTCCCAGGGGCTTCAGCGGGGGGCTGGACTGGTAGAGCAGATGGACTCAAATCATTGCTCATGTGGGATGCTGATGTCCTCAGGGGTAACTTAACATACTGCACCTCAACCCCCCAGCAGCTAGGTTATACCCTTTGAAGCAGGCATATGAAGGTTGTTAATTTGGTTTGCAGTCCTTGTAAGTTTTTTCACTTAAATTCTGATTTAAGAAAAGCAGGATTGCCTCGTGTCAGTTCTTCTGGTGGCCTCTGCAGTAGAGAACTGTGCCAACGTTGGTTTGTCCATAAGGTCTGCTCCCCTTCCAGCATCCAGGAGATGAGCACATACCGGAGGACAGGATTAGACCTTCGGTGCTTTCCTCCCACTGGCATGTCTGACATGGGTGAAGGATATGACCTGTGGACTTGGTGTTAAATCTTCAAGTGCCATTTAGTTGATTGACACAGTGGAGGGTATGCCCACTTTCGACTTCACTCCATTGAGCAAAAAAGCCCACACAGTGATAACAAGCAATAGGGGTACCAGACCTATCCTCGTCAATCCGTGTTAGTCCTTTCACACTTTGCCCCCATATATTTAAATTATTGTTTTCCAGATTGTTGTCAGCTGGTTTATTTGCATTACCTCAATTACTAGTGGGGCTGAGTGTTTTCCCACCATCTCTGTCTTTGTAGTATATCAATTTTTGCTACAGAAAACCTTCTTCACTCCTGTTACCTTTATGACCTAAATACTATCATCTTCTCACCATAAGTTTCAAAAGATATGCCCACAGTCCATTATTCATTTTATTATGACTAGGTAAGAGGGAAGGTATCACCTTTCTAAAATTTTACTCTATCACAGAGGTCTTTTGTTTTTCTGGATCTTGCTAATATTCTCATGTTTTTTCTCTCTGTATTTTTCAGGAGATGGTCATGACAACATAGAAACACAACATGGAAGAAGAAAAGGAAAAGCACGCCATCAATTTACACCTGAGGAACTGCACATACTGAATCAATCATTTGCAGAGAGTCCTTATCCCGACTATACGACCAAGGAGGAACTGGCCAAAAAACTCCATTGTTCGTTTTACACAATTGAGGTACATAAACTATGTAGGTATTTAAATGAATATGTATTTGTGGACAATAATAAAAAAGCAACTAATTATGAAGAAGTATAACAGCATTTCATCACATAAGACAGCGTTGAAATTTGTTCCCATTTCTTCTTCATGTCATTGTGGATGTGACTATATTAAAGCATGTTATGTGTTATTTTTGAAACAGATTTATTGATTTGAAAATCAGAGTTACACAGAGAGAGAGAAGGAGAGGCAGAGAGAGAGAGCAAGGTCTCCCATCTGCTGGTTCACTCCCCACCTGGCCTCAATGGCCGGAGCTATGTTGATTCGAAGTCAGCAGCCAGGAGCTTCTTCTGGGTCTCTCATGTGGGTTCAGGGGCCCAAGCACTTGGGCCATCTTCCACTGCTTTCCCAGGCCATAGTTGAGAGGTGGATCAGAAGTGGAGCAGCCAGGACTTGAACTGGTGTCCATATGGAATGCCGGCTCTGCAGGTGGCGGTTTTACCTCCTATGTCACAGCACTGGCCCCAATTACTCTCATTTTACAAAGGAGAAAAAGTAGAGTAGAGGTTCCATGAAACACTTAGGGTAAGGTATAAAGTAATACTGCTAAGTTATGGCAGATGCTTGTTTGTTTTGGGTATGGCCTTTGAAGAAAATGACATTTAGAATATGATTTAGAATACATTGAATTAGGAATTCATTCTGGAAAAGCAGTTGGAGTAAAATAAGCAAGCTAAGGGAACATATTTTGAGAACAGCTGCTTCAGGTCTAAATGCAGAGGGTGCAAATAGGTTGCTAGAAGATTTGGAAAAGTAGGGATTTGCTCATACATAAGGGCCCGTGCCTCCTGTGAAGGCAGATGGGAATCCAGAATTGTGCACAATTAAGATTTTAATTATTATAAATGTATATTTATATATACATTTACATATCATATTTACTGTAAATGCATTCTCGTATTATAAATATAATAACACAGGAAGCCCCTGGAAAGCGTGCTTGCATTTTGCATGTCTTACTCAAGGTCACGAAGCAAATCAGTGATGACGCTGATCCTAAGATGAACTACAAAATTCTCCTACATTGGCGAATATATAGACTCGAAAGTAATTTCTGTTTCGTTTCTTTTTTAGAACTGGTTCCAAAATAAAAGAGCCAGACTAGCAGCCAAGAAGAGACGCAAAGTGCTTGAAGCCAGGATGCCATATGCACTCCCTGTCCAAGGTCCCCCAGGTGTAAGCCTGCAGAATTCCCAGGAGTGGGCTCCCAACGCTGCCCAGGCATCTGTGCTGGGCGGAGCTCTCTACACTGCTCCACATGTCCAGGAGCGGTTTCCCAACACTACCCAGGCGGCTGTGCTGGGTGGAGCTGTCTACGCCACTCCACGTGCCCAGGTGTGGTCTCCCAACTTTGCCCAGGCAGCTGTGCTGGGTGGAGCCGTCTACACCGCTCCATGTGCCCAGGTGTGGTCTCCCAACACTGCCCAGGTGGCTGTGCTGGACGGAGCTGTCTACACCACTCCACAAGCCCAGGAGTGGTCTCCCAATGCTGGCCAGGTGGCTGTGCTGGACAGAGCTGTCTACCCCACTCCACGTGCCCAGGAGTGGTCTCCCAATGCTGCCCAGGAAGCTGTGCTGGGCGGAGCTGTCTACAACGCTCCACGTGCCCAGGAGTGGTCTCCCAACACTGCCCAGGTGGCTGTGCTGGGCGGAGCTGTCTACTCCACTCCACCCACATGGGAGGTTCCCAGCCCGCTCTACGGCTCCTGGGATTCTGGGGTTCGAGGTGCTCAAGAGGCACCGAGCTATGCTCTGGAGAATCAAGGGAACGTAGGAGGTGGATCTTTTCCCCGTGGCGTTCCAGGAGCAAGTTTATTCATCCTTTTTCATCTGCACCGTATTTTGGGAGTTCCAGGTCAGAGATGAGGGTCATGCAGCCTGATTGGCCTTCCCTGCTACCCGGTGTTCCCAGTGCTCAGGGAGCGATGCAACAGCTGCAGGAGCAGAAGAGCTCTTTTCGTTACCCACTATGTGAAGAATGGCAGCAGAATGGCTGGGGAACGCACCCTCAGCAGCCCCAGCAGCCTCCGGATTACTGGCAGGAGCTGCCCTCCCAGGACCAGTTTCCAATGCAGCAGAATCACAACAGCGCAGAGAACAGGGTGCCTTTTCCTCTGTCCCAGCAGCAGCCTGGAGATCGTGAAGGTGATGGAGAGCTCACGTTCTTGCAGGTGTTGAGCACAGCTCTGCGGGTACTCAGTTCTCCAACAGAACCTCACGAGCAAGATACGCAGCAAGGTGGTGCCCGAGATGCCCAGGTCTGAAATCCAGGACATTTTGAAAGAGGAACACACCGGTGCCAACTTCTGGGACTAGAAATGTGGCTGCAGGAAATGGCGTTGGGCTTTTGAGTCAGCAGATGCCTGTGATACTACAATTGTGTACCTGGGAGTCGAAGGTTCTTGAAAGAAAGGAACTAGCTCATAGTGTACATCCTTTGTGTGCGTGGCTGGTTAGGGTTGTGAACATATTTTCTATCATGTTGGCATTTATATTCTTGAAGGACATTTTGTACTGGTAGTTATTGTAGGGGGTTGTGTCATGTTAAACTAGGATTATAGGAGTTAGTTATGCTACCTTTCTTACTATTTTCTATAATTTTGTACAACACTGCACTTAGCCCTTCATTAAAGGTTTGGATTTTACAATGACGGCTCTGATAGATTCATTATAGGGAGATTTTGCCTGCTGGTCTCATTATAGGTGATTAGAAAACTATCATTTCTCCTTGAGTAAAATTTGTGATTATGTTTGCTAATACTAATTCCATTTCATCTAGGGTTTTAAATTTACTGCTATAAATCATCTGAAGTACCATTAGGGCTTTCATTCCTAGAGTATTTGTGTATGGAAAATGTGTTATTTTCAAGTTTTAGACTAGCATCTTCTAATCTTGGTGTTTTATTGCCAGCTATTTGTCCCTTGGAAGAAAAGTTTGGAGAAAAACCCAGATTGCATGGAGTCCTTTAAATTTCACCATGGGTGCGGTCCCTGGTCTTGAGCAGTGTATGTTGCTGCCTCCCAGTAGGGAACTGTGAAAAAACAGGTCTCCCCAGGCCGGCACTGTGGCACAGCGGGTTAACACTCTGGCCTGAGCACCGGCATCCCATATGGGCATCGGTATGAAACCTGGTGCTCTGCTTCCAATCCAGCTCTCTGCTATGGCCTGGGAAAGCAGAAGATGGCCCTTGTCCTTGGGCCCCTGCACCTGTGTGGCAGACCCAGAAGAAACTCCTGCCTCCCAGCTGTGGATCAGCACAGTTCAGGCCATTGCAGCCAACTGGGGAGTGAACCACCACATGGAAGTCCTCTCTCTCTCTCTCTCTCTCTCTCTCTCTGTGAAACTCTGACTTTCAAATAAAAAATAAATATTAAAAAAAAAGATCTCTACAGGTGCTGGTGCTCTGGTGCAGCGGGTAAAGCCGCCATCCTATATGGTTGCCAGTTCAAGTCTCAACTGTTCCACTTCTGATCTAGCTCCCAGCTAATGCACCTGGGAGAGTCGTGGAAGATGGTCCAAGTCCTTGGGCCCCTACACCTATGTGTGAGACCCGAAAGAAGCTCCTCCTCCTGGTATAGCTCCAGCTGTTGCGGCCTTTTGGGGGAGTGAACCAGTGGATGGAAGACTCTGTCTGCCTGTCTGTCTCTCTGTCATTCTGCCTTTCAAATAAATACAGCTTTAAAAAAATTCTGTAACTCAGACTGTAGGATTTAGACAACAGGCATGGGCATGGGCAGGGGCACAGCATCTAACAATTTATTCTCTTTCTTGTTTTCCCAAGAATATTCCAAGAAGGGTGATCTTTCATGCTGTACCCCCAGGGATTGGACCTCACAGCAAGGAGAGCTGCAAGAGCCCAGCAGCAGTTGGGTTTTGAACACACAATGCGTGCTGCTGTGGGTTGCTTGAGCAGGTAGGGCCCTCTTGCTTCTCTTTTTCCTCTATCCCAGCCACGCCCTCACTCTACAATCCCTCAAAAATGGCTTCTCACAGAGGCAGTAGTTTTAGGGAGCTGTACTTTCCCAGTCTCTTTGGCACAATAAAGCTGTCCTTTGAATTGTCGTGGGAGACCAATCATTTGTTGACTCCCCAGGGAAATGGACCCCTATTGTCTGATATATGGAGGGGCAGGGGAGCTGCTCTAGGACTTGATGAGAAGTGTCCACTCCAAGCTAGAGGGGTGGGCATGTGGCCATATTTGTCCTGTAGTTTGGGGCCTTCTCAATACACAGTTGCTCCCTACGCCCAGAACCCTGGAAAGCCAGCCAGTCATTTCCTGCGACCTCTTTCAAAGCAGGACTGGGGACCGGAAGTATGCAAGTGTGTCATGTCCAGTCCTGGTCACTTGGTTGTCAGGCACCACCCAGTGACCGCATGTGGCAGCGGGCACCCAGTCTCTGGCTCTAGCACCTTGCATCTGAAACTGTGCAGAGAAAAGCCCAAGCATTGTTTCTGGTGGGAACTGGGACTTTGTGTCTGGCTACTACAGACCTTCACTCTGTCTGGTGTGTGGAGGCTCCAAGGGGCCCACTGTGCAGTGCAGCACGGTGCAATACTTCCAGCAGGGAGCCAGAATCAGGAACAGCAGGGTGACAGGTGTCAGGGCAGCTGCGGTGTTGACCTGCTGGGGGATTGGGGCAGTTTCTGGTCAGCTCTGTGCCTCCCCTTTAAGGTCTTTGCATGTTCCTCTGCGACCTCTGCTGGCCGGTGGTTGTACTGCAGAATTTTCAGGTGACATAGTGTACCTTAGAAATGCATTATTCATTGACTCAGGTGAGATGTGGTCAAAATCAACTCCTAGAGGACATTTCGAAGGTATTTTTAAGTGCTCCGTCTCCACCGAGGTCCCCCTTAGCTTGGTGAGCCTGGTTGTCCAATCGCCACCACAGTAGATTCACAGCAGCCACAGACATGCTGATGGTTTCCTCAACACAGACTGTGTGATCCAGACCCACAGGAGAGTCTGGGTGGGGGTGGGGGGCACATCTTCCTCTTTGCATGCCCTTCCTACAATGTCCCAAAGTCACACTGAGCCCCATCGAAGCATCGGGCATGGACGCCTGTGGGGCCACCTCAGGGCTCAGCTCCTGGTCCTCCAGTGGAAAGTGGTTCCTGAGAAGACTTGGCCACTGCCACCCATCCTCAAGGCCACCCCACCTGAGCCGTGCGCCAGAGTGGACCCTGGGTTCGAGTCCCAGCTGCTCCACTTCTGATCCCGCTCCCTCCTAATACGCCTGAGAAAACAGCAGAGGATGGCCCCTGCATCCTTGTGGGAGACCTGGAAGAAGCTCCTGGCTCTTGGCTTCAGCCTGGCCCAGCACCGGTGATTGCTGCCATTTGGAGAGTGAGCCAGTGGATGGAAGACTTCTTCCTCTGTCTCTGCCTCTGTTGTAACTCTGCTTTTCAAAAAAAGAGAATAAATATTTTTAAAACCACCTTTCTTTGGACTTTCCATGGACTTGGGCCATCTTCATCTGCTTTTCCAGGCCACAGCAGAGAGCTGGGTCGGAAGTGGAGTATCTGAGACTTGAACCGGCTGCCATGTGAGATGTCAGCACTGCAGCCAGAGACTTTACCCGCTATGCCACAGTGCCCTTCCCTCCCACCCCACCCCCCTCCCCCATTCATTTTCCAACAACACTGTGAGTTGCCATTGCTAACCCACTCAAGGCAGCAAGTCAGTGAGGGAGTAGAAGGTTGCCTGTCTGAGCTGAGCCAACCACCTCCTGTTACAGAGAAGGTGAAGGAGTCCAAGAAGGCAAAAGTCCTGCCTGGAGGGAGCACTCATTGGGTCCTTGGGGATGGAACACACAGCCTCAGTGAGGACCGTCCATGCTGGCCGCTGTTTCAATGGCAGTGCCAAGAAAAGGCAGAATGGAGGATGGCATGGGGGCCGTGAGAACGAGGACATTGTGGTCAACCCACGTGAGAGTCCCAGTGCTCTCCGAGGCTGGACCGTGTGCCCATCTTGTCTCCAAACCACTTTGAGCATCTGGCTGCTTTGAGCTCCATAGCAGGAAGTGGGAGGGGTAAGGAGTGGCTGCTTCTGACCTTCAGGAGCTGGGCCATGCCCTATACCGTGTCCTAGAGCGAAATCATGTCCTTTCCTCTCTGTTCTTCTCCCCAGGCCATGCTGCTTCCTCCTCCTGACCCCACTGTTCCTGCGTGCCCAGCCCCGGGGATGCCTGGAAGAAGAGATGAGGACCTACTCCCAGAGGACAGTGAGCACGCTGCACCCTGGTCATGTGTGGCCCAGTGGAAGACAGCCTTCCTGGTCGAGATGGACAGGATGGCAGAGAGGGCCCCCAGGGTGAGAAGGGGGATCCAGGTGGAGCTGGGACCAGGGCTTGTCCTGATGGCAGGGGTGGGCGTTGGAATTGTAACCGATCCAGCGCATCTGGATAGCTTGTGACGGAAAACCCGGAGATGGGATCTTCCTTCCAGGGGGTTGGTTCCCTCTTCTGCAGCACCATGTCCATTCCATCGGCTGGCAAGTGAGCAGCTTTCCTGAGCCCCCAACTGCCTCCCTGTATCACCCAACCCTCCTGGTTCCTCCCCAAGGCCCCAGCTGGCTCCCTCCCTAAGAACAAGCAAATAGTAAATTACCCCAAATAGTTGGTAAATTACTGATATTTAGGGCCCTCTAGAGCCCTTTTCAGATAGCTAACAGGTGTTCATTGACTAAATGATGCCTACGTAGAGTGTTAAATATCTTCAATATTTAATTAAACTTCACCACATGAAAAGTGGGCAAACACTCAGGCCTAATCAAAAGGGTTTTCCCTAACACATTACAGGGGGAGAAGGGAAGCTCACATTTCTTTGCTTGGCCCTATGCTGGGGCATTCAGTGGAGTAGTTCATTTAATCCTCTTAAAGGTCTTACAAGGAATAGGCTAATCTCCCTTGATGGGGAAGGAAACCGATGCAGAAAGGCTAAGCAACAGCCAGCCGGAACGTGACAAAGGCATGAGTTTCTTTTATTTTTTTTAAGATTCTTATTTATTTATTTCAAAATCAGAGTTATACAGAGAGAGGAGAGGCAGAGAGAGAGAGAGAGAGAGAGAGGAGAAGAGAGAGAGAGAGAAGTCCTCCAGCTGCTGGTTCACTCTCTATTTTCACAATGGCCGGAGCTACACCAACCCAAAGCCAGGAGCCAGGAGCTTCCTCCATGTCTGCCACACAGCTGCAGGGGCCCAAGGACTTGGGCCATCTTCCTCTGCTTTCCCAAACCATTAGCAGGGAGCTGGATGGGAAGTGGAGGAGCCAGGACACTTTGCTAACCCCTGGGGCAAAATTATTTTTTATTTTATTTTTTTAAAGAGTTTTATTTATTTGAGAGGTAGAGTTACAGACATAGAGAGGCAGATACAGAGAGAGAGAGAGAGAGAGAGAGATTCCCTCAGCTGGTACACTCCTCAAAGGCCGCAACGGCCAGAACTAGGCCAGACCAAAGCCAGGAGCCAGAATCTTCTTCTGGGTGTCCCACATGGGTGCAAGGGCCCAAGCACTTGGGTCATCTTCCGCTGCCTTCAGCAGTGACTGCTAAGCCTAGTGGTTATGGTGCCAGTGCCCCATTATGGAGTGCTTGGTTTTGATAACTGACTCTGTTCGCAATTCTAGCTTCCTGTTTTTTAATTTTTTTTAATATTTATTTATTTATTTATTTTTGACAGGCAGAGTGGACAGTGAAAGAGACAGACAGAGAGAAAGGTCTTCCTTTGCCATTGGTTCACCCTCCAATGGCCGCCATGGCCAGCACACTGCAGCCGGCGCATTGCGCTGATCCGAAGCCAGGAGCCAGGTGCTTCTCCTGGTCTCCTATGGGGTGCAGGGCCCAGGCACTTGGGCCATCCTCCACTGCACTCCCAGACCATAGCAGAGAGCTGGCCTGGAAGAGGGGCAACCAGAACAGAATCCGGCATCCCGATCGGGACTAGAACCTGGTGTGCCGGCGCTGCAGGCGGAGGACTAGCCTATTGAGCCGTGGCACCAGCCTCTAGCTTCCTGTTAATGCAGACCCTGGGCAGGGAGCGGTGGCAGTAATAGCTTCAGTCACTGGATTCCTGCCACCCATGTGGGCCACCAGGATTGAGTCCCTGCCCTCAGCCACCATCTGTCTACTTCTCAAATAAATAAAAATTTAAAAAGATAAAAGCCTCTTTGAAAGACACCAGTGTGGTAGGCCTGGCATTTGGTGCAATGCTTGGGACACTTAGGATAGCGCCATCCCATATGACACTGGTGCTAGGCTTCAAGTCCTGGCTCCACCCTCAGTTCCAGTCTCCTGCTGATGCGGACACTGGGAGGCAAAAGTCGATGGATGGCTCAAGCAGTTGGGTCCCTGCCACCCACGTGGGAGACCCGGACAGGATTCCTGGCTCCCAGTTTCGGCTCAGCCTCGTCCTGGCTGTTGTGGGCATTTGGGGAGTGACCAGCAGATGGGAGATCTGGCCCAAAATTAATAAACATAAATTTCTAAAAAGAGAGAGAAGCCAGGTCAAAAGACGACAGTATTATTGTGGAATTTGGGGAGGGAAGAGTATGTAATAATGGCTCTTTGGTTATTTTGTTAAAGTGAGTCTTTTAGAGACCCATATTGAAATATTTATGGAAGAAATGCTATGATGTCTTGGATTTACTTGGGGATAATGCAGGCCTGGGATGGGGCTGGGAGAGAGGCGTGGGTGGGTGTAAAAGGTCAATGAGATTGGCCGAGAGTTGCCTGTTGTTGAAGCTGTGTGATGAGAGCGTGAGGATGGATGGTCCGACCATTCTGTTTTTGCGTACACGAGGGTACTTCACAAAGTTTGTGGAGAATGGAAATGAAAAGATAAATTTATTTGCGTGCAAAAAATTTTGAATTCTGCAGGTTTTTTTTAAAATTTTTTTTGACAGACAGAGTGGACAGTGAGAGAGAGACACAGAGAGAAAGGTCTTCCTTTGCCGTTGGTTCACCCCCCAATGGCTGCCACGGCCGGCACACTGCGGCCGGCGCACCGCGCTGATCCAAAGGCAGGAGCCAGGTGCTTCTCCTGGTCTCCCATGGGGTGCAGGGCCCAAGCACTTGGGCCATCCTCCACTGCACTCCCGGGCCACAGCAGAGAGCTGGCCTGGAAGAGGGGCAACCGGGACAGAATCCGGCGCCCTGACCGGGACTAGAACCCGGTGTGCTGGCGCTGCAAGGTGGAGGATTAGCCTAGTGAGCCGCGGTGCCGGCCAGGTTTTTTTTTTAATACACATTTTCCATGACCTTTTTGAAGGCTCCTTGTATGGTCTGGAATGTTCCATTCTAAAAGCCAATTGTCTGATGGGATTGTTGGCAAAAACACACTCGTGGGCGGAGTGCACCCACATAAAATGCTCAGAACTAGGGGGGAGGAGGAGGTGTGAGAGACCCCACTGGGGCAGGTCTGGAGGTGGCCGTGGTGAAGGGAAGCCATGCTGTGACTCATTTGTCTCATTTGGAGCTGGGGTGCGCAGCCTGTAGGGGAGACTTCCAAGGAGCGGGAAGAGCTGTTCTCACCCACAGGGTGGGCAGCTGGGGGGAGGAGGGGCCTCCTTGGTGTGAGTCTGGGTATGTACACACCTCTGCAGCTGTGCCCAAGAGCCTCTCACTCATCTGTTCCCTGGAGCCACACCTGTCCGCCCAAGCCCCCATAGCCCTCCCGCTCATACCCTGTCCCCGGCTTAGCAACCCTGCCGGTCAAGTGGGGATCAGCTGGCTTTGGCAGTCTCCCACAACGTGAATTCATTCCTCTTCCTCGGCTGAAAACACCCTGTGCTCTGTGTGTCTGCGATGAGCTTCTAACTTGGCCGCCAAACTTCCTCCAGGGAAAAGGCCGGGCCGAGGCACAGCCCGAACCCCTCACATCTGCACAGAACTGCGCGCTGAGCACCCAGGTGCAACTGCCGATGAGCTCAGCCAGGCCCCAGGAGGTCATCTGAGAGAGAAGGCTTGGAATGGGGCCCTAACTTGCCAGCCTGCCAGCAGCCCCTTCCCCAGCCACCTCCCCTTCCCCGGGGGCCCCCCAGCACTGGCTGGGAGGCATTACACAGCCTCTCACTGCGGGGTGGGGAGCAGCTGTCCTCTCCTCTCTCAGCCTCTGCTGTCTCAGCGTGGGGGTGGCCGCGTGGCGCCCCCTCCCAGCTGTGGCTCCCCCAGGAGGCTCCCTGGGCTTCCGGAGCCTGCTGAGAAGCCTCAGGGAGGAGCTCCCAGGACAGAGACGGAGAAAGGAAAGGAGAGGTTGCTTCTTGGACCAGAAATTCCAGCAAGACTGTAACTGGGGGCCTTCCCCGTGCACGTGCGTGCACACACACACGAGGCTGTCAGGAAACAAGAGGAATGGGAGCGGCGGAAGGATTACTAGGACGGACCCTGAGCAGCTAAGCCCGAG